ACATGCTTTCTTTATGTTTCGCACAGGTTTACGCACACGATATAAATTAAAAACAAACGTAGCGTCGCGCGGCAGGTTGGTGCGTAACTAAGCGCGATGTTGTCAATTGCCTTCATTTCATGTTGTCATTTTAGAGCGCGGACAACGTATCTATAGTTTTATACATCATTGGTTCAAACACAATAATATAAAACAGAGCAGGAGAAGGAACGGGAGGTTTTAGTCATTAAGAGTCGGTTGAGTCTGACACCCCCTCTCGCTATACTTCTTATAATGACGTTTTTTAATGATTTACCCTCCTCAAAAAAGGTATATTTCCTTATTTCATAAAATGTTATTTAATTTATCGTTATTTATGGCTTAATCTTAAAATAGGTTGGTTGCATGCACTTTTTTACAAAGTGTGCTGGTTCAGGTGCATGGTTAGTTAATTACAAGTCCAGTGAACGCATATGTTATACTGGCTTCGTTCACCCGCTGCTCGACTCCATTTAATCGTAGCGTTGTTGTTGTTGATGTTTTATAGCCTATAGCACTCAGGAACATTGAAGCTATGCTATTAACCCTATCAGTGAAAGAATTTTAGGAATTCGACCAGCGGTTCCAATGATTGCCTCCTACATACAAACTCACAAATTTTACCTCTTTATAATATTAGTATCTAAGTATAGATTTAAGCGTTAGGGTTTGTTTTGTGAATTGTCACGGTCAAGGAAGGTCTTTACCGGAACCGTTTTTGTCCAACTTTTATTGTAGCTATAGCAGACCTTTATATAATGTTTATATTTCATTAAAACTTTCTTTCTTTTCTTGTCCAGTTACAAGGTTTGGTAACTTGAAATGAGGAAATAATAAGAAAGTTTAGTATTTAGCTACGCGCCGTACGCTTGGGTTGGTTGGCTGGTCGCAGACCTACGCTTACGGTGGACGGAGATCAATTCTTGATCCCCAACGCCCGGAATATCGCCTACCGCGGCGGCTGGGGCGCGGGGAAGATAGTTCCCAGACGTGCTCCGCCTCCTCCTTTGCGAGCATCATTGCTTCGCAGAAAGAGGAGACGGCTTCCCAGTTCCTCTCGCTACGAACCATAACCTCGACTAAGGCCGAGCGCGAGAGTTCACCGCCGCCAATCTGCTCAGCCCAAGCAGGGCACTCCGCCACCGTATGCTCCACCGTGTCCTCTAGATGGTCCTCACAATGACGATACTCGGGCGTTTCCTCCCGCTGGATCCGAAACAGGAACGTACCGAAGCTGCCGGGCCCGGTAAGCACCTGCGTCAGGCGGAAGGTGAGGACGCCGTGGCGTCTTTCGAGCCACTCCTCAAAGAGAGGTCTTTACCGCTGCTATAACAGGTGCCCGTAAAGGAAAAGGCCAGAAGATAAAATAAGCCAGGAGTTTAAAAAAACAACCGCGTTTTGATATCGTCGCTTTTTTATGTTTTTTTAATCATCTACGTCCCCTTCGTTAGTCCTAGATAACATTAAAGGAAAGATGAAATTCTTAACGTAATTAAAAGTACTTGGGATCAGCAAAATATTTTCGCCCGAAGTGTAAACGGCATATGTATCTGTGAAATAAAATTCTATAACTAAATTCAAAATTCAAAAGACTAGATCGACACGATGCACTATAGATGGCGTCATTAACAATAATAAGCTGCGTAGATTTGAAGGTCACATATTTGTCTGCTAAATATGGGTATATCACATTTATTAGGTATGTGACAATGTAGGCGGCTAGGCGGCCATTTTAATTACCCATTTTTATACCCAGATAAATATAATTATTCCGTGGTAATCCACGTTTTTTTTTATTCGAGGCAAATTAATTTGTCGTTTCACATTATGTATAGCATATGTAGGTATGTATTTTATTAGGTATATATAAGACGCTTTAAATTAGGATTCTTTGCTTCCTAAGATTTTGTTTTGTATTTCACCTGGCACCGCCTAAGTACCTTAAACAAATTTTATTGAAAATAACAATTAACGCACGTAAATTATACGAGCAAAGCTCCTCTACTTTCTAGCCACAACGGGACTCATATTCATGAGCAGAATGCGCTTGGCGGGGCATCGCGCAGTCCATTGATCTTCAACTTATTTGAACATGAATTTGCGAATATTAATACTTAAATCATAACGATTTACGGAGTGTATCTTTTTTTTGAAAATAGTTACCTATTTTATGATACGAAACGCGATTAAAAAAAATTTTGGAGCTAAATAGCGATCATATTTTAAAATGTTTTGATTTCAAGGTCAATCAGGTAGACAGAGACAGACAGACAAGACATATTAATTGTATTCAACTACCAGAACTTGTCAGAAGCAGATACTTACCATCTCATCTCACTCATGTGATAGGTACGATGGCAAACGAGGAGACTGAATTAACTTATAGTAAGCAGGCCTGTTGCAAGTGACGCCTTTTGGAGATAAGAGGGAGTGGGAAGGCATGGGGAGGTGAAGGAATGGTTCTCCGACAACCTCACTTGCACTTTTAAACTTAACGCAATGTTTCTTTCGCGCCAATTTGCCGTGGTATCACTTTGTTCGAGCCGGCCAAATTGCGCTGAAGCATGACCCTCCTACCCTTATTATTACAGATATGTTTATATCACTCAAGCAATGCGGATTAATTCGATCTGCCTTGGACAATGGAAAGCTTCGGCCATCTTGGAAACTTTGGTCAAGAGTTTTGATGCCAAATGCAGAATCTTGGCAACGGTAGGAATAGTTTACCTTCCCAGCTTAGAGATCTTTGACCACTAGTCAATTAAGGACTTAGTTTAGACGAACTAGATAGGATTTTGTACCTAAAGCACTAGAATTTAGTGCTTAAGATTAATTGGTTATTAAAGTTGGGAAAGCGTTATTAGCCTAGGTTTATTGTTCTACTAAGATTTGGATGGAACTTGTATCAGTTCATAATAGTGGCTATGTACCTAATCCATTTATTTTGGAGTTAAATTATTACACCCTTATTATTACAAAACAAGATTTATCGTTGGTCGAGGTTTAAACCATTGGCCGTAAGGGTTTTGAAGCGATCTTTAGTTCTAGATCACTTACATAATACGTCTAAGTAGATGATCGGCACCTCGTCTTGCGGATATTACGCATGACGGCACGAGAACTACTTTCTGTTCTCTTTAGAAAAAGAAAATAGTATAATTAATGGGTACAATTTGACTACTTTTAATGGATACATTTAATAAATTCTTTCTGATCTAATGCAATTGGATCCATAAGTTATAATCGATAATGACATTACCTATCAAGTATTTTTTCACTAAGTGTTTGAAACATGACTAGCTGTAAGATCTTTTCTGCACAATAACTTAAGGAAAATAAATATTATTATTATTATTTCTTGTAAATGATGTTTTGGACATGCAACCTTTTTTTCATTTGCAATGTTCTAATGTTTGTCTATTATCTCATCAGACATACATCCTTACTCAGGCTTTAAAGACTTCCAGGTTATACTTATAGTATACTCTTCGGTGAACGTAGTCTCCAGCCAATTATTCCACTCTTTAGTCATTAAAAAAACTAGAGGCGAATGGCGAATGAGTCGGCTCTACAGGAGTGATACCACAGCCTCACAGAATACGGGCGTGAAACAACCACAGCGTTGTGTTTCACCGTTATCGGGCAATTCTTCCCCTCCCTCCATCCGAACTCAATCCCCTAATCTTCGCACCCTTAATCTCCAAAAGGGCGACAGCTCACTTCGCTTTTTTCGCTTTCTCACTCTTTGCTTCTCTAGTGTTCATGTCATTGCTTACCATCAGGTAATCCGACTGCTCTTTACAAATAAAATATATTAGCTTCGTGCGTGTGAATGGGATTCATATATCCATCCTACCATGAAGCGGATACCTTTGCCGATAGTGAACAAACAGGTAGATTGGTACATAGAATTTTTAGCTTAGTCAAAGTTATTAAAAAGAGGTCTTCCAAAATTACTATTTAAGTCAATATCGTAATAATTTCAAAGTCAAAATCAAAATCATTTATTCCAACTAAACCATAAATAGGTATTGAAACGTCAAAATAGAACAGTAGGCAGTCTGTTCGTCAGCGAAGCTAGGTGCTCGTTCCAAATTGTAGATTCGAATGGAGAAGAATGAAAAAGAAACTCAATGGATACTCTTATAATCTTATCGATTTCACTAATACATTATTGTACCCATATAATGTGAAAACAATGCAGAGCCAGATACAAGTAGTTAAAAAAAAGAAATGATGGATCTATCATTAAGTAATCGAAGAAGTACCTACCTGTATCTTAGTAACAACGATAAAACAGGTTTATTATATAACAGGTATATTAGCCTCTATATATTTACGTCAGATTCTTCTTAATTATAGGAACACAATTCAGGAAGTGTTCCAAAATACGCTTATTCTACTAACATTATAAAAATGCACGTTTGTAAGTATAGATAGATGGATGTTGGTCACCGCTTCACATAAAAACTACTGAACTGATCTGAATGAAATTTGGCACAGTGATAGAGGCACACTCTGGGATAACATATTATAGTCATATTACCCTGGTTTTGCGTGCAAATGCTACCGCAGAAGTGTCAGAATTTAGTAAATGTACATACATAATTGTATATGTAGGTACAAGGTCAACCCAAATGTACTCATCATGTCGATATCTAAAATCGTGAAACAGACTAGCTAATCTCGAGTTGAATTTATTCTGTACGCGGATCTTACTTATTGCAGCTAGATGCTTTATAGACTTATTAACAAAACATTCCTTGGTAAACGAACTATCTAACACAAAAATATCCATTAAATTTGAACCAGTAGTTCTGAAGATTAGCGCGAACAAAACGAAAAAAAAGAAACAATCTCTCGAACTATTCAAATATTTAAAAAATACTTAAAGATTCATGCAGACAGTTTCCTAAAATGTATAATAAAGCTCTCGTATGTCTTTATTAACGAATTTGTGATATTTTGTGAAAACTTATGTGCGAAACTCGAGTGTTTTCATCTCAGTCGTGTGTTGTTCACGCACTCCTGCGCACGTACCGAGCGCAACTATTCGCGGAGTGAATTATTGACTATTAGTGTTGTGATAAATTCAATTTATTAGTTCCAATTTCAAACGCGTAAATTTTTTATTGAAGTAAGTGTTCCTTTTTTGATTTTCTTTTTTTTTTCAAATGAACATTCTAAATTTGAAATACTTATTTATGTCTATCTATGTCTACCCCGTTGTTTGTATTTTTTTTATTGTATTTAGTATTTGAAATTACTTAACGGCTTTGCAGATTTGGTTATTGTAGGTATTTTAAATTATTTAATAATATGTTTTTAGTTGAACATTTTTGTAACTGATTTTATTTTTTATTAGTATCTAAGCTAAGCCTCACCCGCATTTTATCCGTGTAGTTCTTTTTTATAATAACAAAATATACAAAATGGAGTATTAGGAACTTCCATCAGAATAACTGTGATCCATCCTAACTAATATTATAAATGCGAAAGTAACTCTGTCTGTCTGTCTGTCTGTCTGTCTGTTACGCTTTCCCGCTTAAACCTCGCAACCGATTTTAATGAAATTTGGTACAGATAATCTTTAGACCCTGAGACAGAACATAGGCTATTTTTTTTTTTCGAAAAACCGGGATAAAGGGGTTGAAATAGGGGTTAAAAGTTTGTATGGGATTTCTTAATTTTTAAAGATAAAACCATAAAACTTAATATTTAAGCACTTGATAAGAAAATATGAAATATTTGTTCTAGCATTTTTGAAATTTCGACCATCTAGGGGGTGAAATAAGGGTTGAAAGTTAGTATGCAATTTCGCCAAATATCACGTCATAAGAAACAAAAAAATCTTCTGTACTAGCATTTTGAAAATTTTATCAGCGTGATATGTAGTTAAATAGGGGATAAATTGAAGATAAGAGCCGGAACGGATTCGGAACGGGATCTACAAAGCCAACCTTTATGTAGGTATACGAAATCTTAACTATTGAATAGGTTCAACATGTAATTTAGAAGTTTTGGGTGTATCAAGTTACAAAATAGTTCACTTTCGAAGTATAAATTCCTTTTAATGAACACTCTGCATCGCCGCCGCTGCCGTCGGCGCCGCGCACATTCGCCGAAGTGCGGCGCGGCGCTGTCGTGTGGTGGGGAAGCGCACGAATCTAACTATGTGTACCCCAACGGACAGACACGTGAGGACAGAGGTCGTTGTCAGGTGCGATAAGAGAAATTTGCGCTTTAGAGAATTACATTTTTCGATCCAGTAAAATTATTTTGCACGTACTTATATTTCTTTTAGTTCATAGTTACAACGTTACAAGTAGGTAAGATAGTTTCCGTTACTTTAAATAAATACGATTTGCTTTAATTTCCTTTTTTTATTCAATTAATCTAATAGCATCCTACTTTTTTGCATTGGTTGTAAATAAGTACTTATCCAAGTAGGTGCAGGTAGGGTGAAGACAGCCTTTTTAATATAATAAATCTTAATCTGTACATCTGTTTTGTTCGATTCATTTCATTTTTGTTGTTCTACGATGCCTCGCAAACGAAAGTCCAATTTAGCTAAAAGCTCTAGCAGAGCTCGGGCTGCTAAACACGCCATATCACTGAAATGAGACCTTCTCAACAGACCCAAGTTCGCCAAGCCATTGATGCCGAGCGTCACGCGGCTCAAAGAGCTGCTGAGACCTCTCAACAGTCCCAAGCTCGCCAAATCATTGATGCCGAGCGTCACGCGGATCAAAGAGCTGCTGAGACTTCTAAACAGACCCAAGCTCGCCAAATCTTAGATGCTGGGCGTAAAGCTTCGTACATAGCCGCAGAGACCTCCGAAGAGACACGTAGACGACGTTTAATTAATGCCGAGCGGCAAGCAGAAAGGAGACGTACGTTTACGATGAATACGCGGGAGGCATTTGCCGATGCTGCTTTTGATTATGATCCGTTACTTGATTACTTTAATCATCGATTAGTCCTCATAGGTAGAATGTGAGGCACTCAAGTGGAAGGAATAGACCCTAGGTATGTGCTGTTCTGGAGGCAAAGTATCAATACCAACGCTTGGTGACCCCGAGGAGCAACGACTGAAGAAAGAACAGCAATGAATCTCAAATTTTCCTGTCATCATGCCTGGATTTTCACCCACATTAACGGTACAAGGGCAAGTTTATCATAGGATTGGTTCTTTGCTTTCCACAAACAATGATCAACCAAAATTTCTACAGATTTATTTAATGGGAGACGAAAACAGCGAGGTTGACCGTTGATGTCAAAATATTGAAGGAGATGAGAGGAAAATTCTTTTAAAAATTCAAAGAATGCACGAACATAATAACCTCAGTTACACCTTCAAAACAGCCTTCGAAAAAATGCCACGGGAAAATCACAAATTAGTAATACTCGGCGATCGTACGCCGAGCGGGGAACATGAAAGACGTTATAATGCACCCTTAATAAACGAAGTCGCTGCCATGGTGTGTGGTGAACAGTTCACATCGCGCGATATTGTTTTTCAAGCCCATGATAACACATTGATCCGGGTGTCCGACACACACAAGTTTTATGACGCACTACAATACCCGCTTATGTTTAGCAATGAGCAAGAGGGGTACCGTTTTCAAATTCCACAAGAAGTGTGGAATTTGAAGATGGTAGGTACTCCTGGGCTGGCCCCTGTAAGAATCTCATAAACTTAAGGGACCAGGATTGACAAAAACTAATTTGACGCGGGCGAAGCCGCGGGCGGAAGCTAGTGTATTATATGTCTGTTACGATTACGTATTAAAGAAAAAGTAAAACAATAGAAGTCACGTTGTATATATTGTCATTGAATTGATTTACTAATTAGTGTTAATTATACACTAGTTGTTTGACACCTTTCATGGTCGCGGTGAATAGTCATTTTATTTTTTTCGTGCACTTTCTAGTTAGAAACATTATATGTGTATACATAATATAATTCACAATATTATTATATATTTGGATTTTTTTATTTATTTATGTATTTATGTACACGGACTTAATACCCTATAAGGTATTCTCTACTAGTCAACCTAAGGGTCATAACTATTACGTGAAAATATTTAATAATATTATTTTAAAATTTAAATATGACTTAATTTTGTTTTGTCTATAAAAACACTACGTAAAGTTAAAACAAATTTAACATAAACTAATCAAACCGACATTATTCCGAATAATTTATTAATTCATTCATACACGAATAGCTATTGCCTAGCATTTTCAAAATGTATTCAATAATGGTAATATGTGAACAGCGCTGTGGGCTACATTATTTTGATATGTTATTATGTTGTAATATAATATAGTAAGTAAAGTTCTTACTGAAGTAAAAATAAACATGACGTGGGTTAAATGATGAATCCTTACGGGTAAAGAAGGTCTGCATTTTATAAAAATTTGATTTGAATTTAAACTTTAAGTAACATAGAGCTGATTTTGAATAGTCAGATAAATATTATCTGAGGAATAAAATTGTTGCTGTCACTGTCTTATACGAACATTTTGACGAGACAGCATCATAATTATTTCCCAGATAACTTTTATCTAACCATTGAAAAATTACCCCTAAAAGAAACTACTGCTATTAAAAAGGTTTCATCCAGTGTAGCTTGACTTTGTAGTTTGTCCATACTTGTAAGTTGGAACTGGTTCAGGTGGTTTTTGACCTCAGGACGGGCAAAACGGGTTCCTAAGGGCACTGAATGCAATGAAAGCAAATAGCATAAGGTCTCTGTTTACGTGTGTGTAGGTATTCTATACTAGTTACCCCGCGCAGTTTCGCTCGTGTTCTTCTTGGTTCCTATCTGTAGCAGTGTTTTAATGGACTTTATTTATATTTCGGCATGAATAGGTCAGCTTGACTGGAGTGATACAACGGCCCCACAGAAAAAGCACGTGAAACAATCACAGCGTCGTGTTTCGCCGTGTGAGTGAGGTTACCGGATGGCTAATTCTTTCCTTCCTCCATACCTCCTTAACCCCTAAATCTCCAAAAGGCTGACATCGATTCTGGTGTTGCGACTGTCAATCATGGGCAGCATCTATTGCTTACCATCAGGAGTTAAGTCTGCTCGTTTGCCACCGGATCCCATAAAATTACTTAATAATCAATTCGAACCCAGTAGTTTTTGAGATTAGCATATTCACACAAACAAACAAACTATTCAGCTTTATGATATTATATTCTACACCTACACTGTCTTATTTCGCCAAAGTCAAGGTCAAAGTCAAAACATTTATTTCAATCAGAACAATAAAGGAGTAATTTTGAATGTCATTATTATAAATAGGTATATATGTCTGTCTGTCTGTCTGTCTGTATGGTATGTGGAGCTATTTATTTTGTTAGATTTTATACACCGTTACATCACAATGCAGATTGATATAGAAGCCGTTTTAGGTTTTGATTTTTTTTTGCGTCTAGTATTTAAAATTTATTTCCTCGATATAGATGTAGGCTTTTTTTGTGGGGAAAATTATCCAATGACTTCTCTCGCCCAGGGTGAGGCAAGATGGAGTGTCAGTCTCTTACTAACTAGAAACCTTCCCCTGTTCCTCCTCCTGCTCTTGGCGGAGGCCGCGATGCGTTATTGTCAATAGATGTAGGCTAAAGGAACTAGTTTTAAATTCGCTCTCAATTGTATTAAAAGTAGCATTAGTGTTACTTATTATAACGAATTTGGTTTGAAAAAATATCTCTGAAATCATATTTTTTTTAAAATTAGCGACACGCTCCGGCTTCGCACGTGTGCAGTGGTCATACTAAATTTCTCCCCTATGTCATGAATTTTATTGTACACATAACGCTTTCTATTCAATCACTTTATCTACAAAAAAAGTGCATCAAAATTCATTGCGTAGTTTAAAAGATTTAAGCGTACATAGGGACAATAAGTGCGAATTTATTTTATACTATGTAGTGATTTATTTAATTCCATTTAATAATATCGTAATGTATAACAAATACCCGAGCGTACGGCGTGTAGCGAGCGCGCCTCAAAGAGCCAATAGACCACCACAGACGGGGCTGATGTTCAGCCGGGGTTGCGGGTTAAACGCAATGAGTCGCCGCGGCCTCGGCCCAGAGCAGGAAAAGGAACGGGGGGG